GGACCTCTCCACATGACAGATAGTCCCTAAGGATGGGCCCAAGAGGGGCCTGGCAGCTTCCCCAACGGGGCCACGACATTGGAATCTAATAGTTAAAAAATAAAAGAAATTAGCAAAATAAGCTGCCATGAGCTGGCAAGCTGATTCCTGAGAATAATTTTAAAAACGTACATACTTTGGTCTTAAGAGTATGAGGCATAAATATCTAGTTTGAAGCATTATCTTAAGTTTTCTCTTACTGTGTGACAAATCTACCCCTTTATGTTACGGATAGTTATTTGTTTTTAAAGCATTCATTTCACTAAGACTCACTACAAATCTTATAAAAACAGATGTTTAAAAAACTAGATGTAAATGACCAGCAATCCTCAGAATGTAGTTATCAAGGAGTCTCCCCATAATTAGATGGGAATTCACTGAGCTCTGAAAATTTGGGAGCTTCTCAGTTGAAACTCTAAGCTGAAACAGGTGAAGTGCCCCCAGAGCTGGGCATCCCCTTCTTCATAATCAAATCTCAGGCTCTTGCTTCACTTGTGAACTATCCACTCAAAATAACTGCTTTTTCCTGTTGCTCAGTTCAATGTGCTTTCCTTCCAGTTTACCAGAACGCAGCATGGTGGTTGACCAAGCAAGAAATTATGCAAAGCAGGAGGCATCAAGCAATACCGTTTGGAGACTGCACAGCACCCCACCGTGTACCCACAACAGTTGGTTAAATCACTTTCTTCCAAAGAGGCATGTGGGTTGTTTCCAATCTCTTGCTATTATGAACGAGGCCACAACGAATAATCTTGTACCTGTGTCATTTTGAACATGTGCAGGTGAGTCCCCGGGGTAGGCCTCAGGAGTGGGGCTGCCAGGTTAAGGGTCAAGGGCATCCGGACCGAGACAATGTAAAAACATTGCTGGACTCATTTCCATAGCTTGCTCCATTTTGCCAGGTTTGTGCGCCGGATTCTTTCTAACAGCCTCAGAAAAAAAAAAAAAAGCACTGTCCAGTTTCTGGATTTCCTCAATTTGATAGCTCATTAGTTTGTATTTTTCTTAAAAATAAGGTTGACCAAAAAATACGGTTGAAATTTTGTTTAGGAACCATTTATATTTCTTTTCCTGTGAACTGTATTTTCATATTCGTTGACCCCACGCAGAGCTCATTTCATTTGTTTTGACCAAGGTTCTACAAAGACTGAAGACAAAAATAATAGTTTGCAAGTACTCCCATCTTCTACAAGGAAGATTCCAAATGATCTGGTAAACTTTAGACCAAAACCCAAGTTGTAAAGTAATTTAAATTGAAAAGGTCAAAAGAGAAAAGTTCTTCCGCAACAGCTACAGGCAAGAGGGTCTTCCTCATTACAGGCCTAAGGAGAGGGGCTTCAGAAGGACCCTCCTTTGGAGAGTGGGATGAAATCTAAAGTCTGTGACCGGAGCATTCCCTGCTGGCCAGCCAGCCCCGTGGGCCGTGGTGAGGGTCTCCGAACTTCTGTGGGTCCAATAGTTACCAGGAAAAGTAACTGTGCTGGAAAAGCATTCTTGATGTGACTTATTCTTAAAAAGGCAGACTTCCAGAGCAGGAGAACTCCAAGAATGTCAATAATAAGAGGCTGTGGGATGTGCTTCCAGGGACAGAAACTGGGATATATTCGGGATAACAGAATATAAAGTATGAAGACATACACGATGCAGACTAAGCATGAACTACCTTGCCATTGAAAACTAGAATACAATAGACAGGAACACACTGAAAAATTAAATGGTGATAACATCAAGTTCTGTAATAAGAGTACTTTTTATTAAACATCCCCCAAAAAATTGGGGATTTGGGGGGGAGAGAGGATTGGACCAAATAATTCTTCAGTTCATGTAAAAAAAAATGTACATATGAATAAATATATAATAAAAGCTGAGCATATCGTTAGCTTTAATAGAAAAAGAATGATACTGATTTGCTTGGTATAAAAAACCTATTTTAAAGTTATAGCAGGTGGTATCAGCACAGAAATAGATCAGCAGAGCAAAACAGGAGGTTCAAATATGGACTTTCGTATCTGATTCAAATCACTAGGGGAAAGCAGAACATCAATGAATTTTAATAGGACATAGCTAAGCCGCTGAACAATAAAACACTCAGATCCCTCTCCCCTCACTTCTAATAATAAATTTCAGGTGAATTAGAAATGTAAACGTTTAAAAATTGCTAAATTGTGTATTTTACCTTGAGATAGAAAAGTTCTTCTAAGCATGGTATTAAAGGCAAAATACATAAGAAGAAAGACTGAAAAGTTTGACTGTATAAATTTAAAGTTCATGTGTGACAATGTACAACACAAACGAAGTCTAGGGAAAATATAAACTGGAAAACTTGTTTATAAACTCTAGGACAGTTAAAAGTGAAAATTACTATGATACAAAAAACTTTCAAGTCATTAAAAACAGGCCAAGTGCAAAGGGAAAAAGGCAATTCACCAAGACAGAATCACAGATGACTGATCAACCTACAAAATCGCCAGAGAAAGCAAAGAGAACACTGAAACCCCATTCTTCACATAGCAGATTGATTGTGATGAACGATTTCAACAGCGCCTGTGGTGCTGAGGCTTCTGCTGGTGAGAATGTCAACTGGCATCAACTGTGCAACTCTAACAATATGTAGTAAACATAAAGTGAGTATCATTTTCATTCCAACAATTTCACTTCTAGGAATTTAGCCCACGTGATAATTGCATACAATTATACAGACTTGTACGAGAACAGAGAACATCTGGAAACACTTTCAATGCACAATGCACAATAGGGGATTGGTTAAATAAATTATGGCTCAAACTTTTCAATGTGGTCATTATTATCATGAAAAGTGTACCCAGGATCTGTTGGTTAATAAAAGGAGCATGCTAAACAATTACATTGATCCCATTTGGGGGACCCTCAGTTGTGCCCCAAATGTATAACTATGCAAACACAGGCCCACATAAATGTTTACACATCACCAACCTGATTTGCTTGTCCCTCTGCCTGAAACTATGAACATAATACTGTTTGGAAAGGAATTTACTCCATTGTATCACTTGCTCACAAATCCGGTAGCTAAAAGTCACACTCTCTATCCTCTTCCAACTACAGGGCAGTAGACAGAAGGTCCTTGAAATTCTATTCAATTGACACTAGTTCTTCTGGCTTTCTCTTAGACCCACAGTATGGGAAAATATTTAGAAAATCAAAATGTGAGATAACAATCAAAAAGGAACACTGAAAATTATTTCCTTTAAAAACAATTTAAATATTAAATTTTTCTAGCCTACTGTGGAATTTCAAGATAACAGAGTCAAGTATTGAGTTACAGACAGTGAACTGTTACCTCTATCTATTTGGTTATTTGTGGCTCCTTCTAGAAGTGACGGGGTATGCCTTACAGTGAAAAGATGGATATAAGGGAGCTTAAAATCCTAAAGGCACTTGGTTAGACACACACACACACACACACACACACACACATGCTTGTCTGTACCTATTTCTCCATTCTGAAATTGGGACCAGTAACCTCTAACCTTCCTACCACACAGAACCTCTGTTTTAGGCAGAACACCTAAAACAAACATTATGGGCACACAACAAATCAACCCAGAAACAATCTGCCCATGGCTGGGTAACCCCCAACTCTGATTCCTAGACTAGAAGTGAGCTCAAGGTCAGCTCTTACTGCTCACATCTGCACACTGTCCCAGACAGTGAATAGGGAGAAGAGCCTTGGGCCATGCCCTGCTTCTGGTCTGTTTGGTCAGTGGGGCTCATACCCCAACCCAGGGCGCCCCCTGATCACTCTTCAACAGAAAGGCCTGCCTTCTCCCGGAAAGACCCCCTCAGCAGTGTCTCTGAGCTGCCCTCCCACCTTAACCAGGAGTCCAGGTGGATTTAAAACAGAACAGCATTGTGGTAAAGCTACCAGTGAACTCCGAGAACTTCAAGCTGCTTTCAGATTTAGGAAAAAATTTATTAGGACAGAACTGCAGAATTTTTTCTTTCTTTTTTTTTCTTTTGCAAACACTGAGAACCTGCTTCTGTTAAGTATTAATACTGAGCAACCCTGAGTTATGATTTAGAACACTTGGAAGGAGTAACACAGTCCACCCTTTGCTATTTTAGTACTCTCTCATGAACTGTTTTTGCATTTCAGCACTGTACCCTAACGTATATTTTACTTAACAGTTTACTTAATATTTAGTCAGTTATTTTATCCCGTAAGTAAGTGGGATTTCTTCCATTCCACGATAATTATGCTAAGTTCCCTTGTGGATAACTACAGCTTCTAGAGCTACAGTTAATTCTAGAGCTGGAAATCAGGGGGAAGGTCCTATATTTTTATAAACCCACAAAAAATATATATGATAACAACAGGGGAGGTACAGAATCTCTCTTTGGATAGAGAGGGTTTTGAGAAAAATTCCTACTCATCGGAAACCCTACCTATACTAAGCACAGTAATTTGGAATGATTCCAAATTTAGTCCAAGAGTGTTTATATCAAAGCACATACAAAGAAAACTACTGTACCAGTCTATTGAGAGCTGTCTCCTGTGAGTCCCCTGAGCACAGGAAGGTTCTCAATGTTGATCTTAAGTTGTAGCCTGAGATAGTACCTCAAAGATTTGTTCCCAATAATGCTTAACACAAGCAGGGGCTGGGGCTGACAGCTGGCATGGAGAACCTGGCATGGGTTCTCACTTCCCACCCTCTGACTATCCCCAGGTGAGTGGACACACCTGGGGTGGGGCTCCCCAGGGAGAAGTAGCTTCCTGGAGAACTGCCACCCGCTCTTTGCTCTATTGTCTCCTTAGCTGCTCACCAGCCCAGGCTGCCCAGGGCCACCGGCACTGAGGCCCAGCAAGCTACAGAGGACACGCTGGCCCCCCACGGAGGGTCTGTCCCGTGTCCTCAGGACTGCGACACTGCACAATCCAGGGTCACATGCACAGCTGCTACACCCCGAGGTCATGCCACAGTACTGCCCCTCTCTCCTCCCCCATGTCTCTACTCTCCAGCTCAGAAAAGGGGGAGAGAAAGGGAGAAGAACACTGTTACCTAGAGAAGTCACACGCCTCTATCTTTCTTCTCCTTTCCACTTTTATTGAGTTTTGCAGTGGCACTGTCAATTAGAGAGGAGAGAGAATATTGTTTCAGGCTTTAAAAGTCAAATCTAATACACTCGATCTGGAAATCCAGCATATGGACATTGGCCCAGGACCACTTCCATGGCATGTGTTGTGCTTAGTGACACAGTGACTGACACCCGCAGCTCCTGAGGGTGCAACGCAGGGAGTGCTCACATCACTCTGCTCCCTCCTCCCAGGTGAACACACCTGGACTCTGGACATGAGCTTGACACGGTCTCACCCTGCAGAAACTGTACCAGCTCCCAACCTCCGGAGAGGCAGGTGCACTATCAGGAGAAGGCTCAGTAATAAAATAAAGTTAACCAAGGCTGCCATGACAGTCACATAGAAGAACAGTCCAAACTACAGAAGGGTTTTTAGTGACTAAGCAATCAGAACTATATCACAGCTAACAGGCTAATACACATCGTCACTGGGATGTCACGTAGTTGTAGGAAAGGGGCTGCTTCTAAAGAATTTGACACGTTTGCCTAGACCAACACTCTTTACCATTTTCAATCACCTACTTCATAAAGTCAAACTCTCGCCCAAAGTGAAGTCCTTCTCATTTCCTATTGTAACAGAGTAGATTCTAAATGAATCATCAGAGATGCTATGAAGGCAGGTACCGACCCTTGCGTTCACGTCTAAAGGAGCTATTTCCAGGTTCGCTCAGCGGAAGACACAGGTCCAGCCCACTTGGTCTGCAGCCTGACCGTCAAGGCTCTTGAGTTCCTAGACGCAGAACTTTTCCTGCAGCAGGGAAGATATCAGCGATTCCTGTTTTCTGCTTTTAGGGGGTTCCACAGAGATAGTCACTGACATGAGTCCAGGGATGGGGGGAAGCTGGGAAAGGAGAAAGTTGTAGATCCACATTCACACCTGAGGGGAGCCATCTGCTTGGAGTCTGCAGGCACCTGAGAAGCTGTGGCAGGATGTGTCCCAGCAGCAGCACCTCCTCCCACACAGCTGTGTCTGCATTCTAGACATGGAGGAGGAAAAGAGAAGCCATGGCACAGTGTGATTTTGCCCTGGGGCATCCCACGTGCAACTCATGCTCCCCAGTGCCAACCAGCTTGGGGGACGGGCCACCCCCATGGCCAGGTCGGCTCTGTGGCCATCCTGCTGTCTTTCTGGGCCTGGGGGGCAATCCCCTTTCTGCACTGAGGTGCAGGGTCACTCAAGCCTTTTACCTGGTGAGATGTGCAGAGTCCCGGCCAACCTCTACCCACATCCCCTTGCACCTTCCTCAGTCCCAGCTCTTTCTCATGACTCTAATTCCATCCTCCCACTCTCCCACTCTCTCCTCCAAAATGACAACCATACATACCACACAGCGAAGAAGGAGAGGAATGCCAGGATAATCACAGCCACCACAGAGCCCAGCCCAACGCCTGCCATCTGCTGCAGCGTGAGTGAGGAACCTGCCAGACAAAAGAACCCGTGAAGCCGCAGCCCTGGGCCCTGGCCCTGAGGATGGCCAACTCGGCTCACTCCTTTCACCCAGAGCTTGGTCTCACTTAGCAAAACACTTCGAAATGCCTGCTGAGTTGGCCCTGAGGATGCTGGCCTAGGAAGCCCAGGCCCAGGTCTATCTGAAAGGACAGTGGAAAAGCCAACCACTCTCAAAGGACAAGGGACAAAAGTCTGCTCCTGCTGAGCAAATACGGCATCCTGGGTCCTCGCAAAACAAGCTGTGGAACATTTCAGGGCAATTCTCTTCTGTGTTGAGTCACTCTGACATCATTTGGGCTTTGCTCTAAAAACGACAGCTCTACTAGTCAAATGTTTTGTCAAAGGGTCACCTGTCATGTTCCTTACACATCCACAGGGATGGGACCTCTTTGCTCTGCGCAGCAGGCTGCTGTGAGGATAAAAGACACCTGATGTAAAAGTTCTTTGAAAGACATATGCTCTCTTTAGGGCACAACACACATCAGCTCCAGGGAGATTCCTGGTTATAAATTGAAGAACAAGCACATTTAATTTGCACGTTCGGACCAAATGACTGTTTTAGAGCATTGTGTTCTAAGTAAGAGATCTTGTTTCAATTTCCAAATACCTATTTAGCACTTACAATGTGCCAGAAACTGTTCTAAGTTCGAATTACCCAGGGCTGGAATAATAGTTCCCAGCATCATCAAGGCTACTACGGTTATCCCTAGTTTCCAGGTGAAGCAGCTTGCTCCAGCCGCCCAGCTAACATGTTGGTAACAGCCTGGATTCAGATCACACTGTCGGGCTCTCAAGTCGTTGCTTTTGGCCGAGGCCAAAAGCACCATGCTTCGCCGGTATAAATCTGAATCCAGCCCTGTTTGCAGAAGAACCCCGCAAAGCCAGGGACACAAGTTGCGACCTTTTCCACACAGGCTGCTGCTCACGGACCCTGAGGCTGTAAGTGGTTCAGGTTCCTCTTTGGACCAACAGGAGTCTGTGTGAATGGTGCCACCAGGCACTGAAGAGACTTGCTGGGGGCTGGGGAGGGAGCAGGAGGCAGGTTCATTCTGTGTGTTCAGTGTACAGTGTATAGACCGTCAAAATAACACCCGGTCGTGACTAAGGGTAAGGAAGTTAAACCAAGGCCACAGCCTTCCCAGTGATTTGTTTTGCCGTCACTGGCACAGAGAAGTATTTCATTTCTCCGTACCCTTCTTCCACCAATAAGCCGTTATATACTGAATCTGCGCCCTAGGCAATCTGGCACTGCCTGGGAAGCGCTAGAAGCAGCCAAAGCAAAGGTCTGTTACGGTGACGTGACGGGAAGGGGTTACAGAGGAAAAACAGCTCCTGGCCTGAAGGGGCTCCCAAAACATGCATGGCTTGTTTCCTTGCCAATGAGTGGGGCACCTTTGACAACAGTTCACGCTACTTCACTTTTCCATCTAGTCTACACTGTCCAAGATAATCACAATGGAGCTACTTAAATCGAAATTAATTTAATCAAATTTAAATTCAGTTTCTCAGTCATACTATTTCAAGCACTTAGTTTTAAATATTCATTTCAAGTGCCCCATGTGGTTAATGGATACCATATTAGACAGCACAGCTTTAAAAATCTTTGCACGGCTGCCGAATGTTGCATGGAGGCACAGCCGTGATCTCCACAACT